ATCGGTATCCAATATCAGAGTATGGACCGCGTGGACCAGCTGCGCTGGTACGTGAAAATGGTAGTAAATAAATTAATTAGCCAACAGCCAATCAACAGCCACATCTGCAAACATGACCACACCTGCTTGTATGCCCATATTTGGGCCTTCCCCCGAATTCCTTTCTTATTACGTCACGCGCGTACGCCCCCATAGTACTTTCCTATGGGGACCACTAAAAAGCAAATAAAACGATTGTAAAAGCTTGTATCAAAAAAATTTAAAAACGCCTAAGGGTATTTACCCACTCTACCTCTATACGAAATTACAGGTAATTTCGCCCAAAAATGAAGGAGTTGAATCAATTTAAAGATATGGCAGGAGGAGGAGGAGGAGGAGGAGAAGGAGGAGAAGAAACATCAGAAAAAGCAATATGGGTTCACCACCACTTCGTGGTGTGGTGAACCCATAAATAGGTAAATACATAAAAGACTGTTTTGTTCTAGCCTTTCACTGGTCATGGCAAGGAGGACAGGTGGAATGTACACAGTGTATCTACATATCTAGTATGTTTAGGTTTCATGCAGACAGAAAGTTCCCATAACAATTTATGACAGGTGGAGGGAAGGACACATCTATTATAACTTAACTTTTCTGGGGGGAGGGGTATTCCAAAGGCAAAGTAACAAGGCAGTTAGAAAGAATACTGATTTGCTGTCAAATGTACCCATAGATAACTCTGCCTGATTGTAAAGCCTAAGCTAACTTTTGATTATTTCTTTTCTATATATAAGTTGTTAAGTTTTATTCTATACCTATCTATTTTACTATGCTACTTATTGTTACCTACTAGTATTTGCCATACAATGTACCCTGTACAATTGTCGTGCAATAAAGTTCTTCTATAATGATCGGACTATCATGGTAGTGTCACTTGGTAAGTAACAAAGACAGCCCCACCGTCTTACCGTTCCTGCTATACCACTTGAATAAGGAGTTCTTTATATCATAAGCAAATAATCTGAAACAGTTGCCCGACAGTTAACAGTTGCATAATGGCCAACAGTTGTGGTATCAGTAAAGCGTGACTCAGGCCAAGCCGAAAACCAGTCAGCAATATTAGCGCAGTCCATATACTCAGTAACAGTAGCCCATCAATGAACCCCTGCAAACATCTGCCTGAAGGAAACACCCCCCCGCTATTCCAAACAATGGGTTTTTCTGGACCATACCAAAAAATGTAGGGGTGCATCTGAAATACTACATTGACCGCAGAAACAGCTACGGCAAAAAATAAAATGCGTGCATTATCACGGGCATGCCCGCAGACAGCATATAAAATTACCGATTAAACAAAGAGAACCCCGTGTTCTAGCTGCGAACACGAAAAACCAACTGCCCACAATACTCCGTCCGGAGGTCATGACCTCCTTCATGAGTAACAAATCACTGAATTGAACTGAATGTGTGTATATGTACAATGCATGGGTTACATTGTCACATGTCAATATGTACTTGAATTTGACTTGGTTGTAAGGCCATGTTGATTTGATTAATATATGGATGATTTTCCGATTTTTTTTTTTGCAATATACGGTATATATTTTCTTATTTTGCAACTGTTTTGTATGATTTACAGCATGGTTCAAAACTTTTTTTTTTGGAAACAGCCAAAAATTCATGTGCACGTGGATGCCATCCACATAATCAAATCAACATGGCCTAATTATATGATACATAAAAGCTCCCCTGACCTGGGATGTCTGGGTACTTGGGCCTGCCTCCCACTGCCAGTACGATGTTATTGCCTGTCACTGTTGTCTCCTGTCCACTGGCTGACAGCATTCTCACAGTGTGGGCATCAACTAAAGAACCCTTTGCATTCTGATAGTCCACCTAAAAGGCAATATTTGTTTGTTTGAACCCTTGTTTATTCATTAAAAACTCATGAATAATTCTTTGAACCTTTCACAAGAAACTCCTCATTCATTTATCTAACCTCCATGACACGTCATGGAGATTATATTTTCAGTTGCGTTTGTCACTCTGTCTGTCATTCTATCAGTCGACAAGATAACACTCAAGAAGGCCTGGATGGATTGGTTTATACTTGATGCGTTGGTAGGGTGTGACAAAAACAGGAAAGGATTTTGGGTCCCCTAGTGGCTTTTCTTGATACTGCAGTGCAACTTCCAGTTTTGATATCTTGCAATTTGAACATACTATAGGGTCATCAATTTGGGATCGTAAGTAGCTCTTGAGCCCGGAAAGAAGTCACATGAGTTTGGGCCCCCTAGCAGCTTGTTCTGGAACTGCAGAATGGTCTGTTTTAAAATCTTTGAGAGAGGATAACTAACAAACTGGTTGATGGATCATTGTAATTTTTGGTATGAAGGTAGCTTAAGTTATGTTTGACATATTTGAATTACAATTATGCAAATCAGGATCTAATTTGCATAACTAATGAGGAAATTCTATAAATCCGTAGTGCTCGACATTAGCCTATAAAACACTTATAATTAACAATGATTAACACGTATAATTAAGAATGACAGGAACATTGGCAGATATTAATTATGTAAATGGCGACCTCCTTTGCATACACATGTAGTTAATGTGAAATTGCTACAATTTCATAGTCATAACTGCTGGGAAAATACTTGCCATAGTTGGAAGCTAAGTCAAGGTGAACATCACTAATTAGGACCTTATTTGTATGATATAATCTACGAGGAAAAGCTAGAATGGCCTTATTTCTTAAGATAATCCTGTCATTGGGTGGAGAATATGATCAACTGATACAATGCTGGCTCTGTCCTTAGTGCTAAACTCACTGTCCGAGGCGGACAGGTTTCTGTTTATTCTTACTTTATTGTTTTATCATTACTTTCTGTTCTTTGAGTAACTACGTTCAGACACAGTGTGTACGGCGTGTCTGTGGATTGGAAGGGTTGAGCACCTATGCAAATGCTCTTATAATTTGCATAATCGCAAATGACAGGTGAGCATCACCATGCATAAGATTTACGAAAGTACTGTTTAGTGAACATGTCATGGAGGTACTGTATGTAATCGCAGAACTCTAGTTTCTTATTCAACTATTAATTGGAATTCACAGATTTAAAACCGATAAATCTGTAAGAAGCCTGCAACAGTGATGATCTGGATTTTGTACATTGCCAGCTCTTATAAATCATAGGAAACATACAATGTAACAAAAGACAATCAAAATGCATAAGGTCACACCAATTTCTTGGTTAATGGATTTTTCTAGAAAAATAATGGAGCGGGTGGGCGAAAAAAATAAAAATAAAAACAGGCCTAGGCATCCTATTATGGCTCAAAATGGTACGATAGGAGCCATGAAGTCAACACACCAGGCTGGTTCAAAATTCAAACAATGACTTTTGAACTTTTAATGATACCAATGCATTGAAAGATGGAATAACTGTAACAAGTAGGATGAAAAGGACTGTTTTCAACTGTTCAGGGCAAAATATGAGCATTTTGCAGTTGATTCTGGATTTTTATTTTTATTTGCAAATCAGAAAAAATTGAAGCGGCGAATCCGTTAACCAAGAAATTAAATTGGTGTGGCCTAACAATGCAATTTTATTTCATTTTCAATGTAACAATGCAATTTTATTTCATTTAAGTTCAAAATCTATATAATATTGTTTTAATAATTTATTAACCAGCCTGGTATGTTCACTTCATGGCTCATATTGTAGTGCCTTGGCCTGTTTTTTTTTTTTCGCCCTGTCGCTTCATATTTTTTCTGAAAAAATCCGAGAAACATCCAATTGAATTGGTGTGGCCTAAAGTAATAAATAAATATCAATGATGATGTTTCTGGCCTGACCTGTTTGTCCTTTAGCTGCACCCTGTGTCCCCAGTTGAGTGACTTGACATGCTGCTGCACGACTGTTGTGAGGGTCGACCAGTCTATGGTGGGATCAACATGCACATTCCAGCCGTACTTCCTGAAAATATAACAACAGTTAACAGTTATATATAATATAGAGAGTAAATATAGCCTTTAAAGATAATAGTTTTTAGAGAGGGAAATGTTTGTATTTGTTTATTATGTGTAGGTGTGTACGCTGTCAGCATACTTGTTGTCTAGTGCACTCCTTGTATTGTTACAATTTTGAATAAATAAATAATTAACGTTACCTGCATGAAAAATGGAGGTATTGTTTTTGGTGCGTCTGTGTATGTCTGTGTGTACATGTATGTCTGTGTGTGTGTGTGTGTGTGTGTGTGTGTACATGTACTTTAGTATATGTGTGTTTCCGTTTCCGCACATTTGTAGTCAGCATAACTTCAGAACGCCTTATAGATTATGATGATATTTGGTATGCTGGTAAGTCTTAGGAAAACGAAGGTCAAGGTCAAATACTAGTATGGGTGTCATTTGCATAATTAATGAAGACATGTTGGAATGAATCATGACAAAGGAGAGGAATTTTACACTAAAATATTGTCATTTGAATTTAGAAAACCATAAATTAAAGTAGATTATGCTAATTACGACCTTATTTCCATAGTCAATGAGACAAATAAAAAAACATTTACAAAAACTCATATATTTCATGGAGGTATGAGATCTACGAATTCTTGTTATAAATAGTTCTGGATAAGGCCACACCAATTTAATTTCTTGGTTAACGGATTCGCCTGCTTAATTTTTTTCTGATTTGCAAATAAAAATAAAAATTCAAAATCACCTGCAAAATGCTCATATTTTGCCATGACCACTTGAAAACAGTCCTTTTCATCCTATTTGTTATAGTTACTCCATCTTTCAATGCAATGGTATCATTAAAAGTTCAAAATTCATTGTTTTAATTTTGAACCAGCCTGGTGTGTTGACTTCATGGCTCCTATCGTACCATTTTGGGCCATAATAGGATACCTACATGTAGACCTGTTTTTATTTATTTACTTTTTTGCCCGCCCGCTCCATTATTTTTCTAGAAAAATCCGTTAACCGAGAAATTAAATTGGTGTGGCCTAAAGCACACTCCTTACTTTGCGTCGTGTATGGCGTGCCCCAGCAGCGCGGCGTGGTGCATCAGTTTTTTTGGGATACAGCCGACGTTAACGCAGCACCCCCCCAGTCCCCAGCGACTGCCCCGGGGGGAGGGGTCCACATAGTCCAGCACCAGGACACGGGCTCCCAGCTGGGCAGCCTCTTTAGAACAGGCTAGTCCTCCTGAACCCCCGCCTATCACCACCAGGTCATAGTCATGTCGGACTGGCACGGACGTGGACAGACTGTAACAACAGGTGTTTGTGTTTGTTTATTTATTTAACGTTATTTATTTATTTATTGAGATTTTCCAATAGGGATCGATACAAAATATGGCATTGTATACTATTATTCTTGAGACCTTAATTCAACCCCTCCTTGATTCAACAATTACATATAACGTTACATACAAAAATATACAAACATAGGAAATTACATGTTCTTCTTCTTTCCCGTACGTGCACAACCTCAATAAGTTGAGGGCTCCGGCACGGTGAGGGGTAGGGGTTTTTGGTTTGGATTTGGGGTGTCGCTCTTATTTTGTATTGTGTATATAATGTGTGTATATATGTTGTTGTAGTCTGTTGGCTACAGACTACAAGCTCCTCAGTGGGCAGGGGCGCCACTCCCTGTCCGCCAGCTGGGTGGCGGTGAGTACCCGTGACTCTTGTTTGGGGTTACAAGGTGTGAATGGCATTTTTAAATGCCTGCAGTGACTTTGCTTTAACCACACTATCTGGTAGGCGGTTCCATTCTCTAACAGTTTTAGAGAAGAAGGAATTTAGGTGATAGTCAGCTCGTGAGCTTGGAGGGTGGAGGGCTAAGCTGTTTTCAGTGCGAGAGGGAGCTCGTAGCCCCTTGCTTGCTAGCGGCATGTGCATAGCTACAATGTTATTTGTGATCTTATAGAACATCTGTAAGCGGGCGTTTCGCCTCCTTTCTACGAGCAAAGGCCAGTCAAGTGTGACTAACATGTTAGACACACTAGACTGCCGTCTGTAGCGGCGGAGGGCAAAACGCGCTGCCCTTCTTTGGACAGCCTCCAGGTTCCTTATATTACTTTGGGTATAAGGATCCCATACCGTCTGACAATACTCAAGTATTGGGCGCACTAGGGTTTTGTAAGCCCGGGCTTTGACCTGTGGATTTGCAATGTTAATATTGCGTCTCAGGAAATTAACGGTATTGTTGGCTTTTGAGGATACGTGATCTATATGAAGGTCCCATCGTAAATCTCCAGATATAAGGACACCAAGATATTTGACAAAGCTGACATGTTTGAGAATATGCCCATGCAGGGAGTAGTCGTAGACAATGGGAGCTCTCTTTCTGGTGATGCTGAGCACTTCACACTTGTCAGGGTGGAACTCCATAGCCCACTTTTCCCCCCACTCTGCCAAAGTATCAAGGTCGTTCTGGAGTTTCAGTGAATCACCCTGGCATGAGACCGTCATGTAAATCATGGTATCGTCCGCAAATAAGCGAGCTGTAGAGTGTAAGTTTTCAGTGATATCATTTATGTAATACAAAAACAGGCAAGGTCCGAGCACCGAACCCTGTGGGACCCCTGAAATGACATCCAATTTGCTAGAAGTCACCCCCTCGATGACCACTGACTGGGTACGACAATGAAGGAAGTCTTCTATCCAGTTCCTGGTCTGAGGTTCAATGCCGTACCACTGAAGCTTCCGGATGAGTCGTTTGTGGCCTACCTTATCGAAGGCTTTAGAGAAATCAAGCACACAGACATCTGTCTGGAGACCTTCCTGCATGTTGTTTACAATGTCATGAACAAGTACCAGTAGCCTGCGTAGTCCAGTGGTTAGCGATCCTGCCTCTGGACTAAGAGGTTGGGAGTTCGAATCCCGGCTGATGTCGCTCACCCGACATGCACGCTACTGTTTAGGGTCGCAGTCCTTCGGACGGGACGTTAACCGTGGTCCACTGTTCATTGTGCTTGTCGAAAAGAGCTAGGGGAATTTCCCCGGTACAATGAACCTGTAAATACTGTACATAGCGTCTGTCTTCTCTGTCACGACCAGTGGAAGATTAGCTCTTCAATGAGCTAAACTGGATCGAGATCACTTTCACTTTCACTTTCACTTTTTTCCAGAAGCTGTGTCTCACATGACCTTCCGGGTCGAAAACCGTTTTGTAGCTGATAGAAGAGATCATGCTGTTCCGCATGCTTCATCAGGCTACTACAAATAACATGTTCCATTAACTTAGAAGCAATACAGGTTAAGCTAATAGGTCTGTAGTTTGCTTTATCGTACCTTTGGCCTTTTAAAGATCGGAGTCACGTTTGCGTGCTTCCAGTCATCGGGGATTTTACTTGTTAAGAGTGATTTTTTAAATATTCGTGTCAAGGGATCAGCTAGCTGTTCAGAGAGTTCTTTAAAGATTTTTGGACTAAGGCCATCAGGGCCAGCAGCTTTTGTTGGATTAAGGTTTTTGTAGTAATTTCAGAACTCCTTGTTTGTGGATACTAATTTTTAGGCATGGGTTTGGTCTTCCTACCACGTCGAGTAGGTATTGCTGGAGTCTCACGTGTGAACACGGAGTGGAACTGTGCATTTAGAAGTTCTGCTTTTTGCTGTGGATCAGTGATAAGTCTACCTTTGTCTTTCAGTGGTGCAATTCCAGAATGGTCAGTACGCTGATGTTTAATAAACTTCCAGAACTTCTTTCTACATGTGTCACTGTTTTCGTCACTCTCTGGAGTGATGATTTCTTCTACATACTCCCATGTAACTTAAAATATATGACCCTAACTTACTTACTAAAGGCCAGAAAGGAGTGATATTTTCTTTTTACCGAATTTCACATTCTATTTATCCATATCATTTAGGTCATTTAATGTAACGTGCTTGTGTAAGTATATATTGATCGCCCCTCCCCCTATATACAGGGCCTTGTATTAAAATCATAATTTACGCTGCTATGTCATGACATGTAATGTCCCCAGAAAATACACTGACCTTTTTGAACACTTTGAAAAGCAGGCTGTTCTAGATAACGGTCTTTTTGTACGCCGACAGAGCTGCGAACAGCCTCGTATAAAAGCTGCATTTCGCGAAAAACTCACTATGGGGGCCGCCATTTTGATCTCCAGCTACAGCAAGCCTGCACTTTAGTAAAATATCGCTAGAGGTCAGTGCTGCGTGGTGTGCAATAATGATGTCAAAGGGGTCGGTCAGGTTGGGTCGGAACGACAATGAGGTTGATTTAAAACTAGGCAGTTACTATTATGGAATTATAACATTTTCTCATCAATTATGCAAATTAAGTGTTAATTTACATAATGAATATCTGCTTGTGTTTTTTCTCGCTCTCAATTACATATGTCACAAGCTTGAATAGTCCTAAAATGTAATGCAGCTGATTTATGGAATTTCCTCATTAATTATGCAAATTACATCCAGATTTGCATAATTGTCGCGTAATTATGTCAAGCGTCACTTAAACTACCTACATACCAAAAATCATGACGATCCGTCAACCGATTCTTGAGTTATACTCTTTTGAATATTTTCAAAGAAATGTCCCTGCAGTTCCTGAGCAAGCCGCTAGGGGACCCACACCTACGTCACTTCTTCCCCAGCACAAGACCTACCTACCATCTAAATTTCGTGACCCTAGCACGTCCAGATCACGAAATATCAAAACCCGAAGTTCAGCTGCAGTACCATTAGAAGCCGCTAGGAGGCCCAAAATCTTGTCATTTCGAGGTCGTATCAAGACCTACCCACTTACCAAATATGAAAATCCATTTGAGCCTTCTCAAGTTATCGTGTTCACAGACAGACAGACAGACACACGAACGCCTCTGAAAACATAGCCTTCTTGGCGAAGGTAATTACATTAACTAAAAGGAGTCAACGTCGAAGAAGCAAAACAACTAACCTAAAGTTCTGCTACACTATATATATCTATCGTTTACAACGAATAGAACATATACAAGGCTTCAGTAGCTGTTTACATCGTGTATCTAGATTTAGGGCACCGACAATAGAATTATGTATGTCCATGTATAAGTATATCGTACACTCTAATACAGAATTAACATTTTCTACACGGTCGTTGTTACAAAATGTACAAAGTATGGCGTTCCGAGGCGTACGGTTGTGTTTTCCTACTATTAAGAACAGTCAAAGGACAATGTGACCCGTTACACTAAAGTTCAACTGAGGACAACGATCCGCGGTTCGAAAAGTTGTTCCAGAACGTAAAAACTCCCGGTGTTCCAGACTAGCAACGGCGTTCGACGAAAACTGTTTACAGTTACCAGTTGGCTGTTCCAAGCGACGGTCGCACATTTTCGCTGCTCCTGTCCTTAGTTCAGATTTGACAGACGATATGTCGAGACGACGTGGCCGGCGAAGGCACCGGCGGTCCCGCGCGCGGTCCCGGGCGGTAACCTTCCCGCGCTGCCCTCCCTCAGACACACATGCTGACCAGAAGAGTGGACGTCTGCGGTTCTTGAAAGCCGCCGCGATCACCGTGTTAATACTCGTTGCTGTGACTTCGGTAAGTTTTCTGCCAAAACAATTTATGATTTAGGTCATGAAAGTTCATCTGTGTTAATTAGTAGTTACATGTTTAAATTCAAAACTTAACTTTGTTCCAACACAAGAAATACTTCTCTCCTAGAGCTTCCAGATAGTCACTCTGGTCTTCTTTCAAGGATTTAGATGTTCAAAAACTCGTTTTCTCTAGTTAGAACTACTGTAGAGTTAAACTCGCTGCCACTCAAGTAAAGTAGGGGCAACATTACTAGATGGGCTTTAAACAACGTTTACTCTAATTAAGATGTGTAAACAATATAATGACGAATTCAAAATGATACGTCTAGGCTTTTCTTGTATATCGTATACTACATATAATCTGCCTTATTTTTTTTGACATCTCAAAAGAAGTTATAGTGATTCAGCGTTATTTCCGAGTCAAAAGCTTTAACGCCACACAGGCCTAGGCCCTTATTCTGACCATGAATCTTTTCACCCTTAGATTGCTGGTGTGGTTATGACCGCACAGTCCCTCTCCAATACTGGTGAGGATAAGCCTACCATCAACCTTCCCCCGTACGGGAGCAAGGGAGACGACCAAGCAGGAAGCGGAGATTCAGAAGGTCTCTCCCCGTACGTATACAGCGGATGGACAGGAGTCCGGGTGAAGCCGCGCGACTTCGTTGAAAACGACGCTAAAATTCACAACGGTCCGGACGGCATGGCCTCCACTGATGCCCCTCTGATCCCCGATGCCATGGTAAGAAAACAATTTTGATTTACTTGTTATATCCAGGTCATACATTTTGTCGGCTTTGTAGGGAAACGTGAAGGTTTCCTTGGAAGCATTTTTGAATCACACAAAATGAAGGTTTGTTGTTCATTTAAACTACAGACACCATTAGTAATACATAACAAATACCTTTCAGTAAAAAATCAGATGTTGCAAATTGTATTTTCTTAAAAATAACGCAAAGTAAATGTGTGCAAACGTATACGGCATTTAGAAGTCAGAAAAACCTATTTTATCATTAAGTCAATATCTTAAAGAAATGCACAAAACTTTTTGGAGAAAGCCATTTAGTGTTCGCTTTCTTTTGTTCTGTTTCTTTTGAATTACCCTTCGGGTATAGTTTTGCAATTTAATTATTATTGTAAATATACACTCTCTGACACTTTGTATACGTACTCACTTGCAGGTACCCGTTGGCATGACTCCTCCGACAGGCCACACAGAGAATGCCCGAGTTCCTGACAACCAGATGGAGACTTTCCGTTCTGAAGGCTGGAAGCGGTTCCGTGTCGAGCAGAATTACACGGAAGGCGTCAACAGTACCACCGAGGCCCCAACCGCCCCACCACATGTAGTTGGTGACGAGGAGGGAGAAGAAGTGACCCACGACTGGGGCTACACAACCGGAGAAAACCACTGCAACAACGTCAGAGTTCGCGGCCGCGTTTCCAAGGTATTATTATTATTATTATTATTATTATTATTATCACTGATACACTCTTGACCGTCTACGACACTTCACTTTAAATCCGTTAAACAATACATAAAGGCTCCGTTTCTTCTCTCACCTGTACCTTTACATATCCTTTAAGATGTGATTAAAGATGGGATTTTATACAGTGCTTATAGTATTACTGAATTGCAGGTACTCGTTGGCATGACTCCTCCGACAGACCACACAGAGAATGCCCGAGTCCCTGACAACCAGACGGAGACTTTCCGTTCTGAAGGCTGAAAGCGGTTCCGTGTCGAGCAGAATCATACGGACGGCGCCAACAGTACCACCGAGGTCCCAACCGTCCCACCACATGTAGTTGGTGACGAGGAGGGAGAAGAAGTGGGCCACGACTGGGGCTACACAACCGGAGAAAACCACTGCAACAACGTCCGAGTTCGTCGCCGCGTTTCCAAGGTATTATTATTATCATCATTGATACATTCTTGACCGTCTACGAAACTTCACTTTAAATCCGTTTAACAATACATAAAGGCTCCGTTTCTTCTCTCACCTGTACCTTTACATATCCGTTAAGATGTGATTAAAGATGGGATTTTATACAGTGCTTATAGTATTACTGAATTTCAGGTACCCGTTGGCATGACTCCTCCGACAGGCCACGCAGAGAATGCCCGAGTTCCTGACAACCAGACGGAGACTTTCCGTTCTGAAGGCTGGAAGCGGTTCCGTGTCGAGCAGAATCTCACGGATGGCGTTAATAGTACCGCTGAAGAGGTCCCAACCGTCCCACCACATGTAGTTGGTGACGAGGAGGCAGAAGTGGCCCACGACTGGGGCTACACAACCGGAGAAAACCACTGCAACAACGTCCGAGTTCGCCGCCGCGTTTCCAAGGTATTATTATTATCATCATTGACACATTCTTGACCGTCTACGACACTTCGCTTTAAATCCGTTTAACAATACATAAAGGCTCCGTTTCTTCTCTCACCTGTACCTTTACATATCCGTTAAGATGTGATTAAAGATGGGATTTTATACAGTCCTTATAGTATTACTGAATTGCAGGTACCCGTTGGCATGACTCCTCCGGCAGGCCACACAGAGAATGCCCGAGTTCGAATTCCTGACAACCAGACGGAGACTTTCCGTTCTGAAGGCTGGAAGCGGTTCCGTGTCCATCAGAATCACAAGGAAGGCGCCAACAGTACCACCGAGGTCCCAACCGTCCCACCACATGTAGTTGGTGACGAGGAGGGAGAAGTGACCCACGACTGGGGCTACACAACCGGAGAAAACCACTGCAACAACGTCCGAGTTCGTCGCCGCGTTTCTAAGGTATTATTATTATTATTATTATTATTATTATTATTGATACACTCTTGACAGTCTATGGCACTTCACAAAATCCATTAAGCAATGCATAAATGTTCCGTTTCTTCTCTCACCTGTACCTTAAGTATTCTTAAAGATGTGCTTAAAGGTGTGGGATTCTGTACAGTGCTTCCTTCTCACTTGCAGGTACCTGTTGGTATGACACCTCCGGCAGACCACGCAGAGAATGCCCAAGTTCCTGACAACCAGACGGAGACTTTCCGTTCTGAAGGCTGGAAGCGGTTCCGTGTCGAGCAGAATTACACGGAAGGCGTCGACAGTACCACCGAGGTCCCAACCGTCCCACCTCATGTAGTTGGTGACGAGGAGGGAGAAGAAGTGGGCCACGACTGGGGCTACACAACCGGAGAAAACCACTGCAACAACGTCCGAGTTCGTCGCCGCGTTTCCAAAGTCCCCTTCCCGGCGACAGGCGACAGCTCCGCCACTAAGGCGACTCATCTGCAGCCCAAGCCGAACTCCTCACTTGACAAGAAAGTCAGTGGCGACGTCGACAGCATGGGCACTGACCGCACTGGTGCTATGGACAATGTCTTCACGAGGAACTCTACAGACTTGAATCTGTACTTGGATGCCGTGCTGACAGACATTATGAAGAGCCACAAGAGAAAGCACTACCGTGGCCTGAAACGTTTCAAACGGAGCAAAGCCATCGTCGTGCTGGCCGCAGTTGGTGTGCTGATCGCTGGCTCTGTGGGACACGTCTACTTGCGACAAATTGTACCGTGAACGGGGCCTTTATACTTTGATCCACGCTATGCTTATCTGAGTTCTGATATACTGCTGATGAAATCATACCCCGCCATATCACCAAAGCACAGTATCTACTTGGATAATTGGATTTCGAAACCAATAGCTTCATACACATTCAAACTTTGTTTATTTTATCCTTAAAATATATGGAACGTACCCGTGACCTGACCTTCTTTACAACCCATGTATCGTCGAAACAAAATTAAAGGTGCAGTTTTCTTTTACATCTTGTATGGACAGGTCCTACAGACCTACAATGTAATTTCATGCAGCATCCGTTTCTACGAATAAGAAAACAGTCTTGTCGGGAAATGTTGTCTTATTTGTCGTCAGTGTCATGTTCAATACCAAGGACAGGTAGGCTTGCCTGTGTGTAGATTGTGTTCAGTACAAAGGAAAGGTATGTTTGCTTGTGCGCAGATGGTGTTTAGTACCAAGGACAGGTATGCTTGGTTGTGTGTGTATTTCAGTGCCAGGGAAAGGTATGCTTGCTTGTGTGTGGATTTCAGTACCAAGGACAGGTATGCTTGCTTGTGTGTGGATTTCAGTGCCAAGGACAGGTATGCTTGCTTGAGTGTGGATTTCAGTACCAAGGACAGGTATGCTTGCCTGTGTGTGTATTTCAGTGCCAGGGAAAGGTATGCTTGCTTGTGTGTGGATTTCAGTACCAAGGAAAGGTATGCTTGCTTGTGTGTGGATTTCAGTGCCAAGGAAAGGTATGCTTGCTTGTGTGTGGATTTCAGTGCCAAGGAAAGGTATGCTTGCTTGAGTGTGGAATTCAGTACTGGTTAAGTTCTTCACTTTTCAATTTGTATTGTATTGTATTGTACTGTGGATATAACTGTTAACGTTGTATTGTACCAGCGTTACTTTGGCATGTATATGTTCATTTATCAAGTCAAGTGTTTAAGATAATTGATTTGGCATTGTGGATGCGTAAACAGGAGTATCACAGGTGGCTTTAAATAGAAATAACTGGAATCAACACCTATTCTGCCTGCTGTATTCCTGGCTGGCTGGATCCTTAGTAAAAAAAAAACATCTCCAATGCGCCATTTTAAGTTGCGTCGACATTTATTCTGTACACGGTAAGCACACATAACCAGTTTTATTGGACGATATCCAAAAATAGTCCGGACAAACATCATAACGTGTAGATACTTAGAACAACATTCAAACAGAGGAAACAACACTGTCAATTGTTGAAAAGTACAGAATGTACACATATAGAGGACAGTCGCTAACAAGCATCCGTGCAGCGACCAAAGCGTGTAAAGCTCCTGTCACGCACTCAGAAACTTCCCCGATCACCAACCAACCTAGCCTGGTTACCAAACCTATTATATCTCCCGAGTTCTACATCCTATTTGCGGAGACGATGTAGGACTCGGGAGCTATAATAGGCTGGCTGAAGTTAGGAAGCAGTCTGATCAGTCTGTCTACCTTTCGATACGAATCGAATCAAATTTGAGTTAAATTTCACACCCCTTGTTTTTAGGCTTTTTTATCGGTGTTTCATTTTTCACTGGGATTCCAAAAAAGCCTAAAACACGCCAAAAATAAGCCAAACTCAAACCCCTCCTTGGAGAGTAGAGGGGAGGGGCTATTGGAGATCTAGTCATGGTTTCATTTTTCACCGCGAACCCGTAATCGTGGATTCTTCCTCTTTGGTTGTAGGTTGCCAAAATTGACTTGTTGATGAAACTGCCACGTTGCTTGGCGCTCTTAACTTTCGAACTGCTCATATCGGGAAGGCATAGCCTCTACCAGGCTTGGGGAGGCGGCTGGAAAGAGTAGAAATC